GATCAAGATAAACTGTATAACACGTGAGGTACGCGAACAAGGGAACACAGGTGGAAACTGAGTACCCAAATGAGCCACAGTGACGTTAAAAAGAACTTTTTTAGGGTCAGAGTAGGTAACAGATGAAATGTATTAGGCAGTGATGTGGTAGAGGCTGACTCCATACACAGTTTCAAATGTAGATATGATAGAGCCCAGTAGGCTCAGGAACCTGTACACCAGTTGATTGACAGTTGAGAGGCGGGAGCAAAGAGCCAAAGCTTTTTGCTCCGGCTCAAAGGAATAAATTCTGAATGTTGAACGTCGTTATTGGAGACCCATAAATGTCCGTGTTAAGACCCGTGTTACTTCAACTAAGCATAAATGATAGTGTTGATGAATTAAAATATTTTCTTCTCTTGTTTGTTGATGCAAAGTTTATGCAAAGAAGAAAGACGCTCTAGGATTGCAGGAGGCCGAAGGAGGGATTAAATAGGCTGGAAGTATCGGACAACAATTATAATGCATGGTCATGAAAATTCGAACAGTTATTAGAACATTAAAACAAGACAACATGTAAAAGTGAAGAACATACCTGGGTCAGTGGAAGAACATGCTTCGTGAACAGACATACAACTGACCATAATTCCAAAGGAATGTATAAATATAACCACATCAGCATTTTCTAAGCTGCCGAGCATCAGGACAGTTTTCAGGACCCGAAAACAAAATCCCCCCCCCCCAAAAAAAAAAAGCTGGTACCACTTGAGTTTACAGTTTGGATATTCAGCCCAAAGTACACAGAACAAAATTGAATGAACATAGAATTTTACTTAAGACAAGTTAATGAATTGAAGGAACGGAAGCTAGTTATTGTAAGAACAAATAAGAACATGATCCCTATGAACAAAATATACAGTGGTATCTGTTAAGTAGAAACATGTTTATGTTGATCAGTAACTTACTAGACACCATACAACAGAGGCCGAAACATATATGCGTCATAGTAATGTAGGGAAGCACTTCTTCAGCGTGAAGGCAGTAAACAAGTCTATGTCCCTCGTTACGCAAGGGGTGACGCAGGAGGGGGGGGGACACACTGTGCATCGTGAGTGAATTGACCTGAGTGTGAGCTCTGGTCTGTGAGAGATTGACTATGAGACCTTAATTAAGTGTTCGTATGTGTTTACCCAGCAGTAATTTGGTACCTGGTTGTAAACCAATCTGCGGGTCTTGTTACAGGGAAAACTATTTGGCAAGGCTGAGCATGAGCTATGGGAAGAGAAGCTGTCAACCGGCTAACAGGAGTCAGAAGTCGTCTGTTCCTATACTCACCTGGGAAAAAAAACTGATTGGGAAATTAGTAGAGGCTACTTCCAACCAATTTATTAATAAGCGTATATTGTAAGAAATAACAGAGTTCAGTTGTTTGCATTAAATGCTTTAATGTTTGAATGGTGGGACCCAGGAGCTACAGCTTGTTCCTGCGAATCTGTTAGTAACACACACAGAGACACACACACTCTCGTGTTATTACCGTAAGTAGATGAAAAGGTCACATCATTATCGAGTGTTAAAATGTCCGAGAAAGATATTGATAAGAAAATTAAACTGTAAGAAAGCTAGCGTGGTATATGAAGAGATATATGTGGGCATTGTGATCAGCTAGCAGGCACTGTCACTTAGTGGTGACCTCAGGGCCACCTAGTGGTGACCTCAGGGCCACCTAGTGGTGACCTCAGGGCCACCTAGTGGTGACCTCAGGGCCACCTAGTGGTGACCTCAGGGTCACCTAGTGGTGACCTCAGGGGCACCTAGTGGTGACCTCAGGGCCACCTAGTGGTGACCTCAGGGCCACCTAGTGGTGACCTCAGGGCCACCTAGTGGTGACCTCAGGGCCACCTAGTGGTGACCTCAGGGCCACCTAGTGGTGACCTCAGGGCCACCTAGTGGTGACCTCAGGGTCACCTAGTCGTGTCCTCAGGGGCACCTAATGGTGACCTCAGGGTCACCTAGTGGTGACCTCAGGGTCACCTAGTGGTGACCTCAGGGTCACCTAGTGGTGACCTCAGGGCCACCTAGTGGTGACCTCAGGGTCACCTAGTCGTGTCCTCAGGGGCACCTAATGGTGACCTCAGGGTCACCTAGTGGTGACCTCAGGGTCACCTAGTGGTGACCTCAGGGCCACCTAGTGGTGACCTCAGGGCCACCTAGTGGTGACCTCAGGGCCACCTAGTGGTGACCTCAGGGCCACCTAGTGGTGACCTCAGGGCCACCTAGTGGTGACCTCAGGGTCACCTAGTGGTGACCTCAGGGTCACCTAGTGGTGACCTCAGGGCCACCTAGTGGTGACCTCAGGGCCACCTAGTGGTGACCTCAGGGCCACCTAGTGGTGACCTCAGGGTCACCTAGTCGTGTCCTCAGGGGCACCTAATGGTGACCTCAGGGCCACCTAGTGGTGACCTCAGGGTCACCTAGTCGTGTCCTCAGGGGCACCTAATGGTGACCTCAGGGCCACCTAGTGGTGACCTCAGGGCCACCTAGTGATGACCTCAGGGTCACCTAGTGGTGACCTCAGCGTCACCTAGTGGTGACCTCAGGGCTAGAGCTGACGATCTCAGAGTTAAACCTTGTGAAGAAAGCAATGGCTCTACCTGATGCAAGATAAATTTCTGCAATTATTAGCTTCTAGTATAAAGATAAAAGTGAAAACTCCTAGTATAAAGATAAAGCAGTAAAACCTTCTAATAAAGATAAAAGAGTGAAACCTTCTAGTATAAAAATAAAACAGTGTTGTGTTAGAGGATCTACAATGAAAGTATTATGTGGCATGTTGGAGGATCCTTAGTAAATGTACTATGTTACATCTTAGAGGATCTTCAGTGAGAAAGGAATGAGTGATCGGAAAATATTGCTTTATGTGACGAAAATGTTCACAGTTCAGCAGAGTGTTCATCAAGTTAGGAGAGGTCAAGGTACTGAAACAAGAGCTGCAGAAGCTTATCGACCTAACAGACCAAGCAGAAGACATAAACATTAGCTACAAGAGATGTACAAATAAAATACCAAATACTTGACGAGAAAATTAGAAATATCGAAGATCTTTTAGCTCAAGCTCAGTAAGAACTTATATTCAGGGAGCAGATCCATGTACCTAAAATGGTATCAAACAAATCACTAAAAGAACACGAATCGGGATAAAAACATAACAATGCACGAACAGACGTGCAGCAGAACACAAATACAGGAACATAGCTGCACAGAACACAAAATACAATCATAGACGGGCAGAGTAACATAAACACAAGAACAGACGTGCATAAGAACATAAATACAAGAGCAGACGTGCGGAAGAACACAAATATAAGAATAGACGTGCAGGGATACACAAAGGCTTGAACAGACGTGCAGGGGAACACAAGGTCCGTATAACATCAGGAGGGACGCACCAATACCTTTTTCAGGTAATAAGTGAAGTTGCAATTGTTGTACTGTAATAATACTGTGATTATTTTCCCCCGACGAAGGTTGAGGTCACGGTGATACTCTAAGAAAATTGAGGACTTTCCATCTCTCTCTCTCTCTCTCTCTCTCTCTCTCTCTCTCTCTCTCTCTCTCTCTCTCTCTCTCTCTCTCTCTCTCTCTCTCTCTCTCTCTCTCTCTCTCTCTCTCTCTCTCTCTCTCTCTCTCTCTCTCTCTCTCTCTCTCTCTCTCTCTCTCTCTCTCTCTCTCTCTCTCTCTCTCTCTCTCTCTCTCTCTCTCTCTCTCTCTCTCTCTCTCTCTCTCTCTCTTTTCCAGCAACACTCTCTTTCTCCTGTTGGATTATATATTGAAAACGTTTGTACTTCTTCAGCTCAATCATTTCCCATATTATATGCCTTTAGTATGTAGGCAGTGACAGTTCCAAGATTTCTTGACTGCTTTACGGGGTTGGGGGTTTCATGCCGGAGCTGCATATTCTAGGATTGGTCTCTTGTAAATGATGTACAATATTACAAAAGCATCTTTATTTTGGTTTCTAGAGGCTATTTAGCCGCAAGGCCGTTTTAACAGCATTGTAGGCACTGGGCGAAGATATTCATTGGGGCCCATTATCAATTTGATTGGATCCGCCCATTCCTCACAGTGCAAGATTACCGTCAGATAGTTACACACAAATTATTTGTATTATAGAAGGAAATATTTGGAGCAGGATGGGGGAGGGGGAATCCAACTGTCGTCCTCAGTAACCCCAGACGGTCGCCTTTACCCATAACCCACGATATAAAAATTATATAAAACCTGGGAACCGCCAAGATCCAGTAGCATGCTGGAGGCACCGAGATGGCAGCCAGCTCGGTGCCTCCAGGTGCTACATATAAGTCGCAACATTCTGATGTAGGTAATGAAGCTCTTCCTTCAAATACACAAGGATAGCACAGTACTGTAACGTAATACATCTATAAGGGAAAATCTGTTGATACTATAAATTGAATTCGAAATGGGATTTGAATCCTCGGCCTTTCCAGCGGAAGATCGAGTAATTATCTCTGATAATATATCCCTCATGAACAATATGGCAGGTGAGGACTCTATTGGCTCCTCACGATTCTAAGGACCCAATGTGCTAATGTGTTTAGACGTCGCTGTCTTATCGTAAGACGTTCGCCTGTTTCGAGTTAGACATAGGCGGAAAATTATCCTATATTCACGTGTCTCTAATGGTTTACAAATTCGCTGTTTTCTTCAGTAGATTCAGATAAGTGGTGCTCCTCTTAATTGTTAATTTTCCGTGCTGGTCTTTAGTCCTCCATTTCCATTTCCATTGCCCAACACTTGCTGGCATTTATTTCCAGTAATCGTCTGTTAGAACAACTCTGAAGTCCATGTTTTCATGGAGTTTTCTGAACTCCATCCGTCGTATATTACCGTGCGAGACAATCAGTGCTGCGCGTATGTGGTCTGTATTGTACAGTATGCGCACAAGCAAGACAGCATAACTCAGCGGCTGGTAATCCCTATCAGCCAGGAGCCTGAGGGCGATGGCCGTCACCCCAGGAAATAGGTCTTCAAGGGCGTCTCCAGCACCATCAAACAACTGTGGAAGAGCGTGTCATTTGCGGCTATATAAAGAGTGGGACTTGAGCTCCCTCAGCAGTACTTCTCACACCGTCACAATGGTAAGCATCGCCAACTTCTCCAGCAGCAGCCACGTCTTATGTACAGTCTTCTATGTGGGCTTCTCCAACACTAATATCGACCTGCTGGACCAAGTTCAGAGGAACAGTGAAGAAATATTGACTGAAATCGGAACTAATATGTTGATTAATATCGAGAATTGTTCAAAATAAATATTGTTCTAGGGAAAGGGAATGCCTGCTTAGCATTATGAAGTGAAAAACAAAAGAGATGCACTAAGAAAGAGAGATAGAGGGGTACAGAGAGACATAGAGACTTATCAAATGAGCATTTGGAATTCAGTTCAAATTATGATATTCAGTGTATGTGATAAAGTGGGAATCATAATTAGTTAATTGAATTTCACATGCGCATGTAATAAGATATGTGACTGATAGGCTGCCGCCTTACGCATTTAGACTAATCACAAATTAGTTTTAAACTATGGGATGGAACGTGTTTATTATTCCTTACCTGAAGCGTAATCTTCCTAAATATACCGACATTTCAAAATCAAAAGTTTTTAAATTTGGTTATGTCAATGGTAATGTTAAAAATACTCCCAAATAATATATAATCATTTGCTTCTAAATAACAAACGCACAAGAATACGCCGTAAACAAAACATTGATTTTTTCCGTAATTCTTTGCAGAAACAAGTACTGTTCGTAGCTGCGGCTGTGTTGGTCTCCCAGGGCCATGCTGAGCTGGGATATGGGTCTAGCGGCTCCGGAGGTTCTGGAGGGCTTGGATCCTTTGGAGGCGGATTTGGTGGATCTCAAGGAGGAGGATTTGGAGGTTCCCATGGTGGTGGTGGTGGATTTGGCGGCTCCTCCGGTGCTCTGCAGGGTGGCTATGCTCCTCCTAGTCCAGCTTACGGAGCTCCACAAGGCACTGCGACAGGCTTCAGCGTCTTCAACCTTGGTGCTCCCATAGGCGGCTACGGTGGTGGCTCCGGGCACGGTCGTGGAGGCTCTGGTGGACTGGGAGGTGGTCTTGGCGCCGGTGGTTCTCTTGGAGGAGGCGGAGGATATGGCGGAGCTGGTTCTCTTGGCGGCTTCGGATCTGCTGGTGGTGTTGGAGGTCTTCACTCTGGTGGTGGCGGTGCTGGGGGCTTTGGTGGCTCCCACGGGGGGCTGGGTGGTCATGGCGTCGTAGGTGATACATATGGACGCTAATTGGCTCACAAATCTCGCTCTCTGACGTTATGACAAAAACTTCAACTGACATACGCTTATCATTTTAAGTACATTACTAACTTATTTAAAATATGTCTAAAGTTGTATTTTCGTGCTTCTAATGTAGTTTAAAGTGATTAAAAATAAATTATTGTATATAGTAATAGCGTCTATACTTCCTATGTTTGATAATATGGTGTTTTAAATATTTTTAAGGCAAATATTTTCAGTGAAGAATGAATATCATAGAAATTTACAGTTTTAAAGGCATACTATTAATATTAAGCTTCATTTCCTATTAGTTTTCAGTTTGTATGTACTCTAGTGATACTTCCATTACGAATTTAGCCCAAGCACTTGGGCTGGACGGTAGAGCGACGGTCTCGCTTTTTGCAGATCAGCGTTCAATCCCCGACCGTCCAAATTATTGGACACCATTCCTTTCCCTGGTCCCATCCCAAATCTTAATTCTCATTCCTTCCAAGTGCTATATAGTCTTATATAGAGGCTTAGTGCTTTCTCCTGATAATTACCTTAATCTTACCTTCCCTATGAATTTATGAAAAAAATAACATCGTCCCTCGGTTCCTATACTAACACTGAACTGAAATGTTAATAACGCCCGCGTCTCATAAATTATCATAACTCATCACACTCATGGGGAAGGGGGGAGGGTGATGAGACTTGTAGAGCTAAGCTGATGGAAGAATTACGGGCTCACCATAGCCCGTGCTACATGGACACTTCGTCCTGAGTAGTTAAATCTGAAACAACAACAACAAATGATGGAAGAATGGACAAACACTTCATGAGGCAACGTAACGCAACGAACAAGAGGAATGAGAGATGATCCACGATCAACACTAGACTGGTGGTTACACAATATGAGGCACATGTCGAGGTACATAATGTGTTAAATGTCCAATGGAGCTAGCGACCACTGTGCTATTGTGAATGGCTGTTGCTTGGACCAAGTTATCATCTTGGGTATGCTCTTAAGTATATAATTACACTTAGGAATATGAGGGGGAGGGGGGTTCACACCGAAATTACAAACGTAGTAACTGCTTGAAGTTGAGGTTATATCTGCAAGAAGGGTGATGGGGGGAAAGAACATTGGAAAGGAGAGAAAATGAGATAATGAAATGTATAACCCACTAATGTGTGGATGCCACGGAGTGGTTAATGTCACGTACAAATTTGATGGACGAGTAAAGTAAGGTAAACACTCAGTTTAATAATCAATGAACGGAAAAGCGACAATAAGGTGTGTGAAACACTCCAAAAATAAATTTCTTAAGGTCTTTACAAAAGGATCTCTGTGGCGACCAAAGTTTCGAGTAGAAAGCTAGCCAGAAGAAATAGTAGATGAGGTCAAATATTACCTGAAGGAACTAGATGGGGCAAAATATATAAGAGCACATCCAATATCACCACAGCTGATGAAAGAGTTTGAATATATATTTTGCGATCTGATAACTAAAATTGTAAATAAAAATCTCGAGACAGGAGGTCTCTCAGAATTCGTGCAATGGCAAACGAAGTCCAAAAATTAAAAAAAAAAAAGTCAACCCGCACTCGCACAAAACAGCACATAAATGACTTATTGCTTATAGTCACTATTTCGCTTATAAATAAGTATATATGTGACATAGTCCAACCCATATTTTTTTTCAAGGCACTAACTTTTCCTCTCAGTTTTATTAAACAATAGAGATTTTATACAAAATTTGACAATATCCTGAGTTAAGTTACAATTACCGAAAATCCACACAAGCCTTGATATCTTGAGTTACTTTACAATTTATTGAAATATTTTAGTTTTGTTTTATTATTTTTATAAAACTGTAATATCAATATAGGTGTAGGTTCAGTATTAATTGTAATATCTTAACATACTTAGAAAGTTAGGTTTGGTTGTGGTTTTCTATTCAGCATTTCAAGGCAAACACAAATATTCACAATCTTGAGGTTATCTTGAGGTTATCTTGAGATGATTTCGGGGCTTAGTGTCCCCGCGGCCCGGTCCTCGACCAGGCCTCCACCCCCAGGAAGCAGCCCGTGACAGCTGACTAACACCCAGGTACCTATTTTACTGCTAGGTAAAACGGACATAGGGTGAAAGAAACTTTGCCCATTGTGACATACAATAAATTAGTATGTCACATATGCACTTATTCATAAGCAAGATATTGACTATAAGCAAGCGCGAGAACGGGTTGAAAAAAATGTGACAGACAGGAGGCCCTAAATTATAGACCATTGTCTCCGAGTGGTTACCTTGTGTGGATTTCGGTAATGAACGTTCCCGAGGACCAGTCTCTGACCAGGCCTCCTAGTTGATGGTCTGGTCTACCAGGCTGTTGGACGCGGCTGCTTGCAGCAGCAGCCCGGAGCTGCAACAATGATTGTCTCTGCACGAATATTCTGTGTAAAGTGTTGGAGAATATAATCAGGTGTTAATAATCGAATACCTTGAGAGGATAAACTTTGTAACTTCATATCTCCAAGAAAATCTTCGGAGCAAGGGAGGAGACACGGCTTAAGACACGCATTTGGGAGCTACCTCGAACGCTTTTTCGACCCCAACTCTGTTCCAAAAATGTTTGAACAAAGTGGGGGTTTTCAAATTTGACCAAATTCTATGATAACGTTTCTAAAATACAACAAAAGCAAGGCTGTTTAGACGGTACCTTTCTAAATTCTCAAAAAACATTCATACTGCTGTTCGCGAAAAGCTGATGTCCAAGTTTTGGACATCAGTTTTTATGATGTCTGATGGACTGACACACTTTAATATCTTGGAAAATGCTGAACTGGATAATAATAACAATAATTCATTGTGTTGTGGAACAGGCAGCCAGAGTGTATTCACCTAGTTGTGCTTGTGGGGGTTGAGCTCTGTTCTTTCGGCACGCCTCTCAACTGTCAATCAACTGTTTCTAACTACTACTACTAACTACTTTTTTTCCCCCAACACCACACACACACACACACACACACCAGAAGCAACCCGTGACAGCTGACTAACTCCCTGGTACCTATTTACTGCTAGGTAACAGGGGCATAGGGTGAAAGAAACTCTGCCCATTGTTTCTCGCCGGCGCCCGGGATCGAAACCGGGACCACTGGATCACGTGAACAGCGTGCTGTCCGCTCGGCCACCGGCCTCCATGTATTCATACACGTTAGGCTTATATCGAGGTTCCCCCCCCCCCATCCCACCAAGATCGAATTATTGACCCCGCCCAGGATGCAACACCACGACAAGCTAATTCCTGAGTACCTACTTACTGCCAGGTGAACAGACGCGTTAGGTGACGGGAAATGAGCCCAACCATTTCTGTCCCGCCAGGGATTCGAACCCGGAGTTCTTGATTGTGAGTCGAGAATGAACCTGACTGTACTCCAAGGACTGTACTACCGGATAAAGAAGTATCTGTGGTATAGAAAACAAAGGGTTCTGTTCAGAGAACAAGCGTCAAGCTGAAGGGATTTGACAAATAGTGAGATTCCCCAAGGTTCGGTCCTGGGACCACAGCCATTCCAATTTTAGGTGACTGACTTACCCATGGAGTGAATTTGTGCATGTCAGTGTTTGCAGAACAAAATTGCATAAAACGACAGGAAAAATATTTCACAAACTTCTGGATTGGGCAAACAAATGATTGTAAGAGTGCAACTTACAATCTTGCAATTGTAAGATTGTCTCACGTTCAGTGTGATGAACATGAGGAACTGAGAAATGAACCATAAAAAAATTGCACCAGGCAATTGCACGAATCTGCAATAGGCAGATTTGAGTGAATATAATTCAAGCAATTACACCAGAAACTAACACATAACAGTATGACGTCTGCATGATATGAGAAGCTTGTAAATATTGGAACATGTAAAATCTATATCATGATTCTCTAAAGACCACTTATACAAACCATGATAGACCTGTACAAGAATACACAGCACCGGCATGGAACCCGCACCTCGGAATGCACAAACTGAAAACTTAAGAAGTGCAAAGATTTGTTTGCACTTCAACAAAAAACATTTTGTTTGAAAACTAGTAGTGTAAAGTTACAAGACTAGATTAATGAAATTAAATAACACATCCTATAGTATAGAAGAATCAGAAGGGATATGATCACAACATACACGAAACGGCTTTAAATCTGAGAGAAATTAGAACACAGAATTTATAAAATTAGTGTTGTGGGGGGTAGAAATAGCCTAAGCTACTCTATCCCTTTGAGATGTATTTCTTTCTTGTCTCAATAAACATACTTGAACTTGAACTAATTAGTGCTGTGGAAGCCTCCTCCATCTACATCTTTAAAGTCAGAGTTGACAAAATTCGAACCACAGGATAAATATATTCCAACGTAACATATATGACACGCTATTAATTAGACGCGCCAAGAACTAGACCTCACTTTCCTGTAGTCACTGTTAGATAAACACATCTATGGTGGATGCCGAGATGTGGTTTCCACTCCTATTAAGAAGCTATACGTCCTCCTACCCCGATGATGGAGATTGAAATGGCTGTCTCGCCATAACAAGGAAGATTGATATTTGTCCTCAACCCACTGTGAAGGAGACTGGTGCCCCTAATCCCAATGAATAGAACTGGAGGAAGGAGGAAAATTGGATCTTCCTCCTACTCATAGGAGGAAAATTAAGTCCTCTTCTACCTTACGAGAGAGAAACATTCCAATACTACGAATGGGACTGGAAACCCTGACCCCTACGTGTGGATAAAGAGCCAGACTTCCACAGGAAAACAGGAAGAGAAAAGTGAAATCACAACATGCGATTATGTCTGCATTTCCACTTTGGTAGGAAAGGGTGGGGGTGGGTGTGGAGCAGGTGGAGTTAGTGTAGGGTGGATGTGGAGCAGGTGGAGCTAGTCTAGGGTGGGTGTGGAGCAGGTGAAGCTAGTGTAGAGTGGATGTGGAGCAGGTGGAGTTAGTGTAGGGTGGATGTTGAGCAGGTGGAGTTAGTGTAGGGTGGATGTGGAGCAGGTGGAGTTAGTGTAGGGTGGATGTGGAGCAGGTGAAGTTAGTGTAGGGTGGATGTGGAACAGGTGGAGTTAGTGTAGGGTTGGTGTGGAGCAGGTGGAGTTAGTGTAGGGAGGATGTAGGGTAGGGGAAGTGGATGTATG